TGCAGAATCAGTTATTGTTAATAATTCAACAGAAGACCCAAAGTATTGGAAGAAGAGTTGCATCAAACATGTACATGGCGACAATCTGTTCCGATGCAATTCGACTGTGCACGAGGAATACTTGGACGCGCGTTGTGCTTACGGAATGCAGTATAATGATGAGTCTTCTGGAAGAATATTTTTGCAAAGACTAATAACAAACGCCATGTCAAACAAAGAGTCAAGCCTTAAAAGAACGATTGGTGTCTTGTGTTATGGTACCGCGCAAGGTTAGTTGCAACATATATGATGTTTGTTACGCAATTAATAATAAGACACTTGATTCTCACTATCTTGCATAACGTCTACATACCTGTGGCTGCTGCAATGCAGAAGAGTGAAGTCGGCAGGACGTTTAAAACTTTTATTGTAGAAAACTTATTCCAATAAAAAATCCAAGTTGTTACATAATGTAAGGATACGAATAACATTATCTGAAGCTGAGCAAGAGGTACTTGACCTAACAATCAATGACAATGATCTGAATATGGAGGATCAGATCTTAAACCACATGTTCATCTGAAGATGCAGTGTATCAGTTGATTGAATAAATTCTTATCAAGCATAATAAGCAATACTAAATACTGTACAGTAAAGACCATCGTTGATGCTGCTGATTAGTTATGTAATATATAATAGTAATAATAATGTCTTTTAAAATCAACACTAGTATGAGTTTAATAAAATTGTATTTCACTATTTTACCAATACGCGGGATAGTAAATTGGTACAGACACATATTTTGTTATATTTGTTATTATCTCTTACGCAATTTTACAATGGTTTGACCTAATACTTATATTAACAATTTATAGTTCTTACTAAAATCTTGTTTGGCTAAATAATTGCCTCACAGATTTGGGTACCATCTGTCAATCGTTTTGGCTCTTTTACTTTGTCTAATACATAACAGTAACTAGCTATAAACAAAAATGTCCAATTATAAAACATGAAGAGCTTGCCTTATTTATTTGTGTACATTGCTTTAAGAAAAACTCTTAAGGTACAATATATGTGCAGAAAGTTGATACTTGTGTAGTGACAAATTGTTTCTAACAATTTTAGTAACCAATATAGATCGAATATAAAACAGCCTGCGTTATCAGAATAATCCGAAACAGCCTAAAAATTACATCTCAGATGAGATTGTATCTTGGTCTCTCAGTGAGTCCCGTCTCACAGTTATGCGCACTATGAGCAACCAACTTAAATCCACTTCCCGCGCTCGCTACGAACTACAATACCATCGTTGAATACTCTTTGCCAAAGTAAACCGTTCCGATAACGAGAAGGGAGTCTATGGTTACTTCAATCGTTTTGAGAGATTTAATGATAAGATTTACTCGGGGTACTAGTAAAATATTTTCTACGCCGAAAAGAGCGGAATATTTTCTAAAATACGGTCTTGACTATCTAATGCGTATTTATGAGTATTTTTTGTTTGTTTAGAATAGCGTTTAACTTTGAGAAATAATCAGTTTTAACGTCGTAACCAGACGTGAGAGCTAAGAACCTCTTCCGAAGAATTATAATAAGCAGGCGCACTCGGCTAACAACCACTTATGTCAAAAGACGATTTTTTTATACCAAAAACACACCGAAAAGGGCGTTGTTTACTCTATACCATGATATAACACGTTAAGATAAAGTATCGTCTACGAATATAAAGGCGAGAGAGATAAAAAATTTTTTTTTATTTTTTATTTTTTTGACGATATCATATTGATTTACGTAAATAGATCGATCAAAACGTATTTTCGTGAATTTTTCTACAACCACAAATGTTGTATTCTTGAACTTTTCACTGGTGATAACCTCGATAACTGTCTACACAATGTAATATTAAATTTTACTATGTACGAAGTCTAGCAAATTCAATTACAACGTTAAAGACTATGACAGACGTATACGTTATTGATTAATCTTTGAACTGCGCGATAATTGTACTTGATAAAATTAACATGTATATGATATTGATAATAGATATAGTCGTGAAGTATGGTTTCGTTCTTTGGTTATGTGTGACGTATTCGTATTGTGGCTTGTTTACGAGTAAAAATGTCTTGAGAAGTCTTGAAAGCGAGCGATAATGGTGAACTCGTTATATTAATATAACCAAGCCATATTCAAATTAGTAGACAATGAGAAACACCATATTTGTTTTAATTAATCTCATTGTCTACTTTTAATAATAATCAACGTCGTTGAAATGAATCTTTTAAAGATACCGACGACGTTATCGATTATTTTTTACCGATGTAAGGTTATCATTTTATTAAACTTTTTCATTTTACAGAAATGTCGGATTCTGTCACGAGAGGAAGACAATTTGAAGAAGATATTAAGACGATTATAAGATATAGGTAAGAATTCTTGCTGAGTATTTGTTAATAATTATTGTATCGGGAGGTAGGCTGCCCACTAGGTGTAAATCAGAGAGTTGAATATTATAACTATGAAGATATCATTTTCAAGTATCCATTTAGTATATTTATCTGAAGGGACGCTGCCACATAGGTGTAAAAATCGGGGTTTTTGAAGACACATTGGGTGTGTAAATAAATCGAAACTTCGTTATCTGAAAAAGTCGGCTGTGGACTTTAAACCGGACTTTGTTTGTGGTGAATAGGATACATGTAAAATACTTTATGGTTCTTGATGTTTATATGATAACCAAATAGTTGTGAGTATTCTACTCCGTTATCGAAAGCTGTACTGTGGTTGTCCCGGGTTGTGGTGTATTGCTACCATGGCGCTCCGTGGCCGCAGCTTGTGAAAGTCGCCAGTCAGGTATCCAACCCTGGCATACGATGGACGGCCTGCCTTGAACGTTCTTTCAATGGGTCTTGACTCTGATGATACATTTACTCGTTTTTTTCTCTGTATAGCACCCCCCGGATTAACAGATGGAGGAGTTGACATAGCCTTACACCATAATGGTGTATACTATGTCATCCAAATCGCGATAATGAACATACACTTGGTAATTAATTATTTTATTTTTATAAAATAATTGAATGTCATACTTTTACTAATGAATGTTGTATTTCTAGGGGTGGACTACGTTCTACAACTAAAGGGGGTGCTTGCTGATTGCCCACGAGGAATCTTTATGAATCACTATACAAGTATGTCGACAATTTATGCGTCTCCGACTTGACTTGGGATAATCCATTATCCAGTAAAGTCATCAGTGAGAGATGGTTTCGAAAATAGTTGCTCACATCGAAACTTCATCAACTATCCCTTTGTTGAAATTAGGGGATGAAAAAGGAGAATAGAGAATCTCGAACTTTGGATTAAAAAATATGAAGAAAGTCTTATTAATGAAATTCGAAATCTTAAGACTCAAGTTCATAGTCTCAAAGATCAAGTTTGTGAACTCCGTCAAGATATAAACACCATTAGTAGACGAAAGAACAAAAAAATCACATACAGGCGCGGAAGGACCTTTATATCACCCCTATCTGAACGAGATGCAAGGAGAGAGCTTGAAGGCCAACAAAGCAAAAGGTTTGTCAGAATCTGCTCACTCATCAATACTTTTACATTTATACACTAATGGGTGATGATAATATTGTAATGCATTTTACGTCAAAGCCAGCTGTTATTTTATATTTGTTTTAAAATTATACGATTAAAGGTTTACATGACATTATTATTGTTCATCGACTTTTTTATAATAAATTTAAGGTATAGATTAGTCGACTTATGTCAATTGTGTTAGGAAATAAAACGTGCTTTACTGCTTTCAGATTACTAATACTAATGTGCGAATAGATCGAGTTATTAACAAAAACGTAATAATAATAATAATGAGAAAGGGGGTTTATAGAAAGTTTGATCGAGAACAAGCATTGTTCTACAGTTTATGTTTATAAACAACTAAATCCACAGGTGATAATAAATATCTCATGCATGACAGATATCTACACGTAGACATTACTCGCCTAATACTTGCTGGTAGATATTATAATTAGCAATTTCCTTCACTGAGCCTACCAAATTCTCATATTCCTCTCTATTTACACACCGATCCGTATCTACTTTAAAAAATCAAAGACGCCTTGATCATATCCAGCAAAATGTCATTCTTCTTTGTTTGACTTTTGCCTTCGCCGCTATTGCACTTACAACTGCCCTAATGTCAACACCGCTCTCAACTAATAAAAGGTAAATGTCACGTCAAATTAAATAGAAATTACAACCCTTTGAGTAATTGTTAAAACAAACATGATAAACTTATCGTTATTTGCACTCACCAACTTTATTCCTAAAAAACCAATTACCAAGTAACTTTGGTAAAGAGGTGGGGAAAAGTCGTAAAGTACAGGATTGCCATAAATCGGACGCGTGGTGTCGTTAGTGGAACCATAGGAAGAACCAACAATGGCAGGCTCGAGCCATAGTCAGCTCATTTGATTTGTTCAATACAAACGAGTCAGACAACTAAATGTGCGCACGAGGGGAAATTGTTCGTTGTAAATTCCAAGATCAAAAACATTTGTAATATAAGGAAAAGGAGTATGCTTGCTTCTTTTTAAGTTTAACTTTGAATAATTTGGAGTAAATTTTACGCATCGAATGAAATATAAATTTACTTGGAATAAAATATTATTTAAACTTAGCCGCTTTAATTACAAACCTGGAGTTCTTTTTCACGTCTTGGGCTTTTGATTGGTCTAATCAATAATGAATCAATTAATTAAACAACACTTTAACAGTACGTGTTTCGATAATCGATGATCTCTTTATGAAGTAAAATGATAGAATAATAAATAAAATGGGTAAATGCCGTAACTAAAAATTGATTCAAAAATATTTGATTTATTATTTCTGTTAATATTTTGAGACGTCAAGTTTAGCAAAGAGATAGAGATAATTTTCATCTTACGGTACGGTATGTAAATACATTCAAACTTATAGAAACACCTATCCATAGATAAATGTTTTGCAAGCAAATGTATCCCTTCTTCAAACAAAAAAAGCGACAGAGCAGAGCAAAGGTTAAATAAAAATCTCTAAAATAAATGATCACGTAATGACTCCACCAATAATAAATCAAGAATTGGGTGTGGTGTCACATAAATTTACTGTCCCTATTCGCTTCGTTCAGACGATGACAACTATCAATACAGAAGCTCTTCGTTTATTTGAATTACTAAACAGAAAGCAATATGAACTGGAAACCAAAGTGACAGCATTGAAAACCATTACTGATTCTACTAGGCACCAAGAATATACCACTGAATTACGGAATGGTGTAAAGGAGTTAACTAGACAAATTGAGGTAAGCTTGAGTGATAACAATATGTGGCAGGGATTTCATAAAACGAAGCAATTATCGAATGGAAAAGAGGAATTGATAGAGAATTGCGATCTATAAAAGGATCTGAAGCAACTTGCCGACGAACAAGAAAAAGTCAAAGACCGTGACGCTATATTACAACGATTACGAAGAAATGAAGATCATCTCAGAACGTGAGTCGAAAAAGACTTTGTAACTTTTAAAACTTCAATGAAATCTTATGCCTTTTATTCTATGTCTGCCTTTTTTTTTTAACAAAAAACAATGCACATCTCTGCTATTCATCATCACAATTGGAAAGTCTTCAAGTTTCAATCCGACGAGCAACAGTAGCGTCAAAGCAGAATATAGATAAATTGGCGAGATCAGAGTTATTAGAACTTGCCGATGGGAAAAAGAATGATGCCGCTGAATTAAGAAGAAGGAATCCAAAGTAGGTTTTTGATGGTCGACACACAAAAAGTTGATTTGTTGCGAGACTATCGTGATTTTCCCAACTGATTGTATCACCCAATATTTTTTATAGTTCGGAAGATGCCATTCTTCATGCCGCGAACGACGTGACAGAGTCGTTACGTCGAACGACACAACTAATGCGGCAAGAGATTGAACGAAGTGCCTATTCTGCAAAAGTACTTGGTGAGCCGATATCAACGCTTCGTTTACCCCGTGTTATATGATCGCATCCAATGTTCTTTTTCCCCGAAACTAACTACTTGCTTCTCCCCGCTCCTCCCATCTCTGTGGAACAGACGACTCTTCACGAACATTAAAAATCGCCTATACTGAATATCGCACCTTTTCGTCTTTGGTTAGAGGTTCGAAACAATTGATTACTAAGTTGGAACAGAGTGACTGGACGGATAGATTGCTGATTCTATTCGGGTTGTTAGTATTCGTACTGGTAGTTTTGGTGATATTGAAGAAGAGAGTATGGGATACCGGAATTAGTTGGGTGACATGGATAACTAGTTGGTTTACGTGGGGATAGTTGAATGAGAAGGATGGCGAGATAACCGCGATTCGGATCATATATTATTGTATTATAGATTTCTTTCTTGTAGACGTATGGTTGTATAGAGTAAACAGAGAGCATAACAGAACAGTACAAGACATAACAATCGTTGTTAAATAATTATGCAAGAACTTTTTTAGTTAATATAATAAATTAACCGTACTACACGCTGATAAATTTCTGAGCGGTCGACGAGACTAGTGATTTGGCGATTGTAAGTGCTATTAAATATGTAAATATGTAATTCCAACATTACATCAAACCATCAACGTTCACTTTGCCGTAGAGCAAGTAATCATCTTATCGTTGCACTTTATTTCAACCGCGCATCAGTAATTACTGGTACATTTTCTATTTGGTCAGAATTGGTATGTCTATATTTGAAGCTGCTACTCAAGTCTCAATCACTTTGTTCATCTCACATACGTGGGATCTAAAAAGGCATATAGTGATCGCTTGAAAAAAATTATTATAATTTTCTTATTTGTGTTTGAGAAATTTAATACGACTGGTTTCATTTCATTTGTTGGGAGAGCAATATGGAGGACCAAGAAAATTCGAATCAGAATCGACGTAATACTCGAGGTAAACAGTAATCTGCAGAAAGCGTACATGCATCGATAGGAATCGTGAGTATTGTCAAAGCCGAGTTAGCCAGACACTCCGTTGGAAGACGCTTAATCTCAAGATTGACACGAGCGCTCTCCCACGTGTGATAACGCGACATTCTCAACATGGATTCTGCACTAGATGGCTACAACTTGAACAAATCAGTCCGATTTTTTTTTTATGTCGCACGCGTTGTTGTATAGTTACATTTCTTTCATTCTAAAAACAACACAAAGTGCATATCACTTATTACTCAATTAGTTAATGCGAGAAGGCATCCTCGCTCATACCTTCTCTTGTTTACATACAGTGACTTTGAGTAGCATTGGATATCTAATAAAAGTTTTAATAGAAGCAAGTTTATTGTGCAGATACGCACATATGTTCTCTGGTCGCCACATCGATAGAGCGCAAAAAGGTTGCGGGCAAATACGATTATTAATTAATTAATGAAAAACGTTATAGAATAATTTCTCCGAATTACTAATAGATTACTGTAAAGTATACTGAGACCGGCTATACAGCTGTATGTATTCAAACCCATTCAATAAAATTACTAGCTCCGTTGAACTTACTAGCAACAATACAGTTGTCCATCAATAAATGATGCGTATTGTCATGAGTGTATTGTTATAAAGATTATTGTAACTATTATTGTAATCAGTTGTTTTAAAGTTATCCGTGGTTCTTATCCAGCGAAAGTATTTACTGCAGATATACGTAAATGATACTATGTCGAAAACAATTAACATTGTTGCCACGTACACTTATCAATATCAGTTTTTTTATTAATTAACAATAACACAGATATTCAACTTGTCTTTAGACAATGCCGTTGATGTATCATATGCTTGGAAACAAAATTACAAGGAAAAGTATTGAAATTATGCCTTCTATATGGTTGATACAACAAATATGTCATAGATTCTACAAGAATGATGCTAATTAATATTAATATGTTTATCCTATATTGATATTAATTAAACTCAATTCTATTCTTGAATTTAACAGAGATTTTAGTTTATATATACTAAATTGGAAATCATTATTAATATTTTGACCATTAAGTTTTAACAAAATAATATAATAAAAATTAGAGCCTTTGATGAAGAAATTTTATTTGAAATAAAAAACTTATGAAAGTTTTGGATTTACAATTTGCCTGACTGTTGTACTAATTGTAGTAAACTTTCACAATTATAATTATATTTGTAAGCATAAAATTACTTAATTTCATGGCAACAGTGATTATAATGAAAATAATATATTGTTACTCATCATCTTGTTTTGCTTTTTTGCTTGGATATAGCTTATTTAATTCTTCAACCTTACGTTTTAACTTGGATCTATCATCATATTCAAAAACATAAATCTCATTTTGTGCCTTAATATATCTCTGTTCAGCTGCCTTTCGATATAGCTCAACTGCCTTCTTTTCATCCTTTTCAACTCCAACTCCATATTCATAACAATAACCAAGATTATACTGTCCATATGCATGTCCTTGTTCAGATACTGTTTGGAACAATCTGATAGCTTTTTGAATATCTTTTTCTACTCCAGTTCCTTTTTTGTAACATAGACCAAGATGAGTTTGTGCAAATGCATTACCTTGACTAACTGCTTTTTGATACAATTCAATTGCCTTTTCAATATCTTGATTCACTCCAATCCCCTTCTCATAATACCAACCAAGATTAGATTGCCCACAAGCATCTCCCCCTTCAGCTGCTTTCTGAAACAACTCAACGGCTTTCTGATAATTTATTTCTGTACCAAGACTACTTGTATAACAGCAACCAAGATTATTAAATGCAAGGGCATTTCCCTGTTCAGCTGCTTTCTGAAACAACTCAACAGCTTTCTGATAATTTATTTCTGTACCAAGACTACTTGTATAACAGCAACCAAGATTATTAAATGCAAGGGCATTTCCCTGTTCAGCTGCTTTCTGAAACAACTCAACAGCTTTCTGATAATTTATTTCTGTACCAAGACTACTTGTATAACAGCAACCAAGATTATTAAATGCAAGGGCATTTCC